ATGGTACAACCTGAGAAAAGCTTGTATACACAGTGATACTACTTATAGTACCTACTACTTATAGATACTACTATAGTATCTGGTTTATATTACCTCCGAATGGGCCTGACGGTGGTATGCCATGTACACATAGCCAAAGGTACACACTGAAGCCTGGATTTTACAGGCTTACAAAAGTCACTATCTTCACATATGTTGTAAATAGTTACAATGATTTCACTTTGTATATATAAAAAATCAATGGGTATATTTTATGTAGTCTGATGTTTCATCTTCTCTTCCACCAAGCATGAAAAAAATACACAGGCGTACAGCGGGCAGATGAAAACCAACTTGTGCCAGCCTCTATGGGCTAAGCTCTTCCTACAGACCTTGTTTATCTATTTCTGGATTGGGAAAGGCACACAATCCAACAGGAAATGACCTACATAATCCTTAACTGCTTGACCATCTGGTTAAAACAAACGTTATTCAAACTGATTCCCAGTTGGAGCCTACTCTAGGACCACACCCATCGGGGCAATCCTCATATCCTTGCAAAGCATGATTGCAGATTGCTCCACAGCATTCCCCAAAGCAGATTTTTTTCCACTCCCTCTAATGCAGCAGACCTGCACATTTCAGCTTTTTTTTAATGCTAATTTTTTAAATACCAAGTACAGTGTTGCAAAGCTACTGTCAAAATGACAGCTGAAACCAAAGTTTCATGGTGCACATCTTCCCCTCCCCTTTTCCTGCAGGTATGCAATTTTTGAAGCCACATGCAGGGCCTATCATATAAACCACTTAGCTCCCATGTCCTAACTTTTCAACCTCCTGATAACCAAACAAATTTAAAATAAAGTAGCATTTGCACTTTTGTGTTCATAATTTATGTCCTGCCTTTTGCCTACGGTTTGCTTTATCTGGTAAGGTTCAGTCACCGGATTCTCTATATCTGATAAAGTTCAGTCACTGGATTCTCTATGCCTTGAGTCTGAAGTGTTGCAATTTGTTTTGTTTTCCAGCTGAAGATAAAGTAGTGGTCCTCCCACTATTATTCATCCCAGCTTCCTTTCTCTTACATGTAAAAGACCTGGGGCAAATTCAGCAGTCTTTATATTCTGGCAAAATTGTACTTGTGGGGAAAATTCCGCTTAAAGTCAATGACCATTTAGATACAGATTTCTCCTTCCTCAGTTTATAAAAAAAATTAAGGTGAAGAGAAAACACGATTAAATGGCTTGAAATGTGTAATGAGCTGAGAGTTACCTTTGGAAATAGCATACTTGTAGTCTGTAGATTAGACTTCACATTTCATTACAAGAAAGTAAAGAGAAGGTGTGATTTAATTGCAGTCACGTTTATTTGCAGTTTCTATACACACTTTCTAGGTAATCAAACTTTTCCAACACATTTTTTGAGAGGGGTTCACAATGAAACTGTCACCGGTTTTACTAAAAATAAATACAAGACTTAAAGTGTTGCACAGCTCTAAAATATACAAAGGCTTGGATTTAATGTAAACTTTGAAAACATTTTACAAAAGAAACCATCTCTGCAACAATTTAAAAAGTTCGTATTTACAAATATTACAAAAATACAAAATGGATGCAAGTCCATAAACCATTGTCTTTTCTGCCAGCATGAACTGGTGCTAGTACCAAAATAGTTACACTGTAACCTTCTTAATTTTTTTTTTTAAATTCTTTAAGTCATAACCTACAGTATTTCTCTATCTGCCACCATTGCAGCAAATGCACTCAATCACTGACCTTTGGCAAAAGCAAACATATGCTTTATTTGCTACAACTATTCCATGTCCTCTATGCTGCCACAACAAACAAAAAAAAAAAAAAAAAAAAAAAAAAAAAAAAAAAAAGGAAAAAAAAAGAAAAAAAAGGAAAAAAAAAAAGAAAAAAAAAAGGGTAAAAATGTTATTTTTCAGAACACACAGCTGTATTACTTCAGAAATTGTTTCCATAACATCAGTGCAAACAACGGAACAGTAGGTTGGAATGACGGTTCAGCGGTCACCTGACGCATTTACCGTACCCTATCTCGAGGGGTGAGTGATGTTCCCTTCGCCCTAAAGCTCGTCCTCTGGTGCCTTAATGGCACGCCTGCACCACCACAGGGGTCCCCACCATTCGTTTTGCTCCGACTCCCATGTTTGTTATGAACTCTTTTCTTCACAGTGGATTTAGAATCTCTCTTTATTTGGGTTTCAATCTGCTAAATATAAACTAGGAAATTAAACAAAACAAGTAAGACTATATTTTAATGGAATTGTTCTGCAGCCGTTTCATACGTGAAGTATCGTCTCACTATTCCAGTCAAAAAATTTTTTTTAGTGTATATATATTTATTTATGGTATCTATGAAATTATTGATTGGTAATAAACAGTGATATCATCAAAGTAAATTCAGCTGTATTCTCTTTACAGTTTTGAATGACTGTTTAACTCAGGGCTATTAAACATGTTGTAAAAGTGCTCCTGGTAACATTTTTAAGGAAAACAACTGAAGATGACAAACTAAGGATTTTCTGTCCAATATCTAAACTTCCTTTACTCATGTTCTCCAGAAAGTGGTTTGTTATATGCTAAACATTTCCTCTTAAGACATTCTCATTCATTCACTTCATTTGTGTTCAGACTTATTTTGTGATTATTTCATGAGTAGCCTTTTGTTTCCAAAACCTTGCTCCCATTACCTTTTTGAAAACTATTTTAGACTTTTAGATTATTTAGACTTCCCAAATTTGCAGCCCTTCACCTGATGGACCACCCCCCTTCCCAACACACGTACCACATGCACAGCGACTCTACCTTGCACACCGAACGCAACCAGGCTACACAGGAGGACGGTAGGAAACCCTGAATAATGTATTTCTTGTGGTAAGTTGTAGACAAAATCAGACGTGAACCTTATAGGGAATAACATTCGGGATTTGTTAAACCATTCTGACTTGCTCAGACTCTTTAAAATCGTAACAGTTTTAGGTAGAACCTTCCTCTTTAAAACATGCTCTGCCCGCTTTTAAAAACTCTCAGCTTTATGCATTACATGAGTAAAAGCAAAAGAACTAGTAAAAACCCATTTCACACATCCTGCTTCCCTATCCTTTACTTATGCTTAAAGCCACCTTTTAGTTGATTTCTTTAGTACCAAAGTACGCTCCTTCTGCCATCCTACTCGACCTGTCCTACTGCACACCACATTCCTCCTCGCACTATTTTCTCTGCGCTAACCTTTCCTCTACTCCAAACCATATCCTACGGCAACCAACACCAACTGCATCAATTTTGGACAAAGAGAGCCTTCTTCTCCAAGTAGCACGGACAGGGCTGCATCGATGGAAACTGTGGTGGCCCAAAGGAGAATCAGGCCTGTTGGTTTTATTCTGTTTAAAAATTAAAAGTATAAAGCGACTCACGGGTTAAGTTTTAAAAGTACACGTTCTTGCAGTTTTAAGACGAGAAAATTCAAGTAACTTCAAGTAATTCAGCTTTTATTTCCCTGCCTTCATTTGTATCAAAGCAGCTGCTTTGATTTGTCTCCTTTCCCACCCCACCCCAGTCCCCCACCCTGTTCGGTGTTTCTGGTAAACCCAGACAAGATCCCAACTGTACGTGGCTGGCACAATGAACCAGAGCTTTCCCCTTCCCAGCCCAGCAATGAATATAAATAATGCATACACATACCTATTTCCCAGCTACGTTTTCACAGTGTCATTTTTGTAAATATTTAGGTAGCATGAATCTCATCAGCACAAAGAGAAAGCTTCACTGAAAATTCATTGCGGATATTTAGTGATAAATCGAAAGCGCTTCTTGCATGCTTATAATTTATTTGTTTCCTTTACGAACCAGAAACTAATTGCGTTTAAAGAGTATAGTTACCAGGTTATGACCGTGTTATGTATCCCAATAGCCTAATAGGAATATGAAAGTTAAGTACTATTTCTTCTCGCATCTCTCCTGTCTGAAGCGATCCCTGCTAGAATAAAGGCCCAGGGGAGGCTGTGGGATGGGACCCTTTGGGGCTTTGCATCAGACACAACTTTCTTCTGTCGGAAGCACGCTCGCCTTCCCCACCGATCCTCACGGTAACCCTCCCAGCTGCGCTTTCCAGTTAGCTTCTTCGGAGCTGCCTTAGACAAATGGTTACTTTAATCCCATCGCAGTCAGCCTTTCCATTTCTTAGCTAAGGCGGAGAATTCCTCCTTCCTACTGCTCAATGTTGTCCTTCAGGCTTGTCACACTGAAAGTGGTTATCGGTGGCCATGTGAATTTTTTATGTTTGATATGAAAATGGTATTCACAGAATACAGTTATTACATTTGACTTCTTTTGTCTCCTATAAACAAAGTTGTTATGCAGTAAATCGTTTGCCATGTCCACTTTTTGATAATTCTATTTACAAATTTTTATCAAAAATATGGTATTTACATATGTTTTGTTAATTTCTTCTAAATTTTGTTTCAGCTCATTTTAGTGTAGAAAAATACCAACCCTCAAGAGCATTTTCTTTTTTTTTTTTCTCCCTAGGGAAGCACTGCAGTGAGGGATTTGTTTCTAGATGGGCAGCTTCTGGAAAAAAAAAAATGCCAAAGTCACTTTTAACTCTATGGAAAGTGTATAGCCTTGAAATCTACAGTGACAACGGAATGAGAGTGGGATAAACCAAATGAAGCCAAAAGAAAACAGAACAGACATAGCGTATCTTCCTCCTTTTAGAAAATGTAACGTAATAAATAGCTACAGATGTAGTCCTCTGTTTCCCCAGCGTCTTACAAACACAAACACATTTAAGCATCAATATTGCCCTGCAATTTTTTTCTTTTTTTTCTTTTTTTTTTTTTTTTTTTTCATTTAAACACAAATATTTCCCTTCAATTTTTTTTTTTTTTTTTTTTTTTTTTTTTTTTTTTTGACTGCTACAGCATTGGCCTCTTATATTCACATCCTTACAGAGCCCAAGTGGTGTCAGCAGCCTGGCCCTGGTGCCCATGCAGCCTACGCTGAGCTCTGAGAAGACCGATCATCATGGGGGCTGCCATCCGAATTCTCTGTCTCTCCTTCAGAAATGGCCTGCATCGGCGTGTTGTACAGCCTGCAGCGCACGCTGTACCGGCTGCTGCTGGCTGCCGGAGGCGCCCGGGAACGCCCCACTCTTGAAGATGCCGACATGGGAAAGCTCTTGGAGGAGAATCCTTCTGCATTGACCCTGGGGGAGCAGGGGGAGAGCGGGGACAACGCATCGGGGCTCAGCGCGGGGGGAGACTCCTCTAGGCTTTGAGGAGCATCTGCCATCAGCTCTCCGGGAGACTTGGGCAAAATAGGACTTTTCAGAATTTCCGTGGCAGACATCCTGTAGCTGGAATCGGATCGGCTGCCCTTTTTAAGGAGCAGTAGCTTAAACTCCTCATTGGATGTGTTGGACTTTTTGGAATTCCTGTATATGAGCCCGGGGGACCTCTGACTGCTTATGGGAGTGCCCATGCTGCTGGCCGGTGGCATGTTGCTGGTGGGCAGTGTGCTGCTGGTGGGGGGCTGGCTGCTAGTCCCAGATGAAGCTCTCAATCTGTTTCTTACAGAAAGGTCTCCAGAATCCTTTCTCCCAAGAACTTTCCTTTTTGATCTGTAAAAACACAAAGGAACACTCCTTCATACATTATCTTTGTAGAATAACACTCAATGCTGGTCTGGAGTTTCACAGATTGACTATGCTTTCATATTAGCTAGAGTTCTCCTAATCCCTCTATCAAGTATCGGAGGCTAGCAGCGACTGACGGCACTTTAAGCGGTGATAGGTCTTGTGCAGTGAATGAGGCACTAAGCCACAGAGTCCCTCTCAACCTCACCCAGCTCTTCCCAAACAATACATGCACAACCAGCTCTTTAGAAAGACAACAATGCGCACAGAGTCTTAGGTAACAATAATACTCAGCATAACCTGTCCAGTATCAGAAATCTGTCATTTCAGTTGCAATCACAGATTTCAGCTGAACACAAAATACTCTAAAATTGAAGACATGCCCCCTCATCAGTCTCACTACAATGACTCACTCACCGGAACAGAGCTGGTGGGCAGAAAGCAGGAACCACTGTGGGTAGTTTTCTTTGGAGACACGTATGTTTGTTAGAGAGAACAGCCTGATGTTGTTATCTGTAAAGCATCCTACACATGCCATGAAGATACCCAGAGTACACACCAGACCATAATCAAGCATCTTCTAAAAGCTGCCTTTTAGAAAACTAAACTCAATAAACTAAAGATGGTAGTTTCAGGACAAGACTTAACCATCGAATAACCATCCTGCAGCTATTGTTAGTGGGCGACTGTGCAGGGCTGCATGTTACCATTCCCCATTGCCGCAAGGTTAGGTCACCTGTGAATGACTGCAAACAGATCCTCGGTAGTGCGGGGTTTGTTTGGAGACACAAAGACATCCTCAGCGTCAGCCTGCAACTCCTCACTCAGCGGAGACACGAGGGACTCGTCGCTTGGAGAAGACTCTTAAACAAGGAAAGAGGCCACGCTGTGAGTCAGACCCTGCTGCGCTTGGCAACAACCCTGCCTCGCCCATGCGAGGCACCAGCTTGGTTCACAACCGAGCGGCCGATACTACTACCATACAGACTTTATCCTCTAATCTAAACATCATGTACATTGCATGTTGGAGCCCATAAAGGGGGCACTGCTAAGGCCTGGAACCGGCACCTCCCATTTACTGTACAGCTAGGATAATAAGGCTCCTCTGTACCCAGGGTTAGTGCTCCTCCCTTTTCTCTTTTCAGCTGAAATGCAGCACAAGGGAGGAAATAAATATCAGAGAAATACACTCTGAATACACTGAAAAAGCCTAAAATATCTCTGGGCTGGCTGGCCAGCTAACAGATTGGGCGGCTCTGTACTTAAGCCTCCAGAGGCGCGCCAATTTGCACCTCCAGCCTGCTTTTTGACTCCACCACCAGTCACATCCAAAGCCACATGATGGGGTATAACACAGAAAGAGTTCACAACTGACCTTTCAGCGAAGACTCGTCTGCACCGCCTGCCGTCTCGTCCGCCCTGCCATCATCAGAGGCACTTTTGGTTGGGATACCTGATGCGATATCATTTTCCTGCTTGCAAGTCGCTTCTCCGAGTGAATTCACTGCTGCTGTCTCCGCTTCATAGCTGACATTCCCAGGCACATGGTGGCTTACGTCGGGTTGGTGCTTAAGCTGATCGCTGACAGCCGCTCCCTCAGCGTGACCTGGGCTTTCTCCCGCAAGCCCACCTTCCAGCCTCCCCTCGCTGCCTGCGGAGAGCTCTTGCTGAGCCTGCACTTGCTGAAGGTCGTGCTCTGTTTCTGCTCCCTGGCTGGGTTTCTTTGCTTCGTCATCACCTGTGAGGACAACCGAGCCCTTCTGAAACCCGTCCGCAGAGATGGCACACGTCTGATTCAGAGTGCTTTCCAGCAAGCGCTCGGTGATCAGGTGTGTTTGCTCCTTCCCAGGTTTGACTTCAACCAGACCCACTCTTGCTGAAGTTACAGCTTCTCGCTCACAGCTATTCTGCCCGCTGAAAGAGGAGCTTTTCTCCCCACTGAAAGAGGAGCTTTTCTCTAAAGGCAGTTTTCCAGGGCCCACTTCTGCTGGGGAAGCATCAATGTACGACATTATGGCCTCCTCCGTGGAGTACTGGCGCGATACTGTTTTCTTAGCTAAGAGCGGCCTCATTTTGCCCGGAGAAATGTCGGTTGCCATCAAGGCGGTCTCCTGTATGCAGAGCAGGTCTGGGGCACTGCCCTTCTGTTTCCCTCCTTCAGGCTTGTTGACTGCCCGGAGGTGGACAGACTTGAGAACGGAGGGCGTGATGGCAAGGGCAGAGGGAGGGCTCGGATGCAGGGCTTCCCCGACCACGCTCTGCTTGCTGTGGCTGAAGGCATGCAGCTGGTGCCTGTGAGCGAAGGGCTTGCTCAAGACGTTGTGAAGAGCACTTAGGTCGAGGTGAGTAGGAGGTATAATCGGAAGTTCAAGGTCTTTGCTCACCGAGGCGGTGCCGTCTTTTGAGAGCGGCTGCTGCAGCGATGACTTCCTCTCCGGTACTTTTGGCTTCCTCTTGCTCCCCCCTGGAGACAAGGGTCCCGAAAAGAAAGCAGTCGGAAAAGAAGACGTGGGCGTCTCCGACTGGCTCGAGTACCCGCTGGAAGGTGAGGCTAACCCCGCCAGCTTCTCGGGGGAGGCCAGCTTAAACTCATTATCGACCGAAGGGAGGGATGGGGTGGTGGCTCGTGACCCGGACTGGGATGTCTGGGATTCGGAGCTCTCCGGTGACTTGATGCACTCTATGACTGTAGTACCCGTAGCGGTGCTCGAATTGGACAAGGACCTGTAAGGATCACTGGATTTCAAGTCATTCAGAAGCCAGAGGTCTGCATAGTGAGGTTGTTCAGCACCTTCATCTTTAAAGGAGGGGATATCAGCAGTGTCAAATGGAGTGTCCTTTAACCCGCCGTCGCCCTGGTTTGCCCAGGGGAGCTCCTGCTTGGCTGGCAGGTTGGGGCCTTCCAGTCGGGAAGGTGTGTTTGAAAACTCAAGGGGCAGCTTCATCTCCCTGGCAGTGTGAGAGACGTGCTGCCCGCCACCGATCTTTGGTTCTTTCTTGTCAGGAAGGTCGGTGCTGCCCTCCGATTTCCTCAAAGATGAGCTGCGTTTTGGTGGGGCTGGCTTTGCCTTTGGTTTCTTCAGTGAGATGCTCTGCCGTCCCTGCCTCCTGTGGCTCACGCACTCCTGCCAGGCGCAGTCAGCCAGGCTGGAGGTCACGCTCCCGCTCTGGCCGCTCTCGGAGCCCGTGGCTGCATAGTTGCAAATATAGTTTTTATTACCCTTGAGACCGCAGTCAAAGTGCATGGAGGTATAGTATCCTTCGGTATCCACGGAAAAGTGTGAGCTAGTGTCTGCCTTGTCAGAGGGGGTCTTTTCGAGGAAGCTGTCATAGGTGGCCATGCTGGTGAAGCTGGGGCATCCCAGGCTGTCGGTCTTTGGGCGCTCGGGGCTGAAGTCCTGGCGACAGGAGGCATCATGGTGATGGTGCAGGTAGTTCCACTCGCTGTCGCTCGTGTTGCTGTTGTTGGGGTCATCCAGTAAATCCGCCACAGTGGAGGTGAAGGAGCTCGCCCTGTGACCCCTGACCTTGTCCGCGTGGTCACCAAACTGCTCTGTGATGAAGACACTGGAGTCCTCGTTGGCGTTGGGAGCGGTGTTGAGCGACAGCTCAGAGTCACAGTGTGAAGAGCCCGTCAGCGGAGGAGAGGCGGCAGGAGGAATGGTTTCAGACGTCTGGGAGGGACACGTGGAGCTGCTCCCGCTCCAGTTGCCACTGGAGGACTGGTGGTCATCTTTCTGGTCCATGTGGCTGCTGAGCAGGACTCCAGCCGTGGAGATAGAGTGAATGGGGCTCCCGAAGGTGTCCGAGTTGGACGAAATCTCGCAGCTGCCTGAATCGGCCATCCTTGACAGCCGTGATCTCCCCCTCTCACCAATGCTATGTTCAGGGCTGTGCAGATGCTGAGGACAAGTTAAACCGATGGGCTGGCACTCTTGTGAACCTTGCTTGCTCAACACCTCCTTCCCCTTTTTTGGGATCCTCTCCTGGCCAGCTAGGAAGCACTCTGCTTCGTACCCTGCACTCTTGGCGCTGGCATCCTGATGACCCTCGCTGGCCCGGGCGCCCTCACGAGGAAGGCTCCGCGAGCGGATGCGGTTGCTTACCGCGGCAGCGAACACGGCACTCCCGTGTGACCCC